TAGCTTCATTTAATACTTTGTTTGTAAACTGTTTTCGTGGCTGTTGCCTTTATTTATCAGCAAACGTTGATCTGCCTTTATTTAGCTGCATACATATTTATGCCAATAAATGAGCACGTAATAACAATGACACACATAGCCACACACACACACACACACACACAACACACACACTCGCACAGACAGCTGTACTTAACATAAACATAATTGCAAAACAATTGCTCAGAGCTGAACGCAACTGCAACAGTTGCAGCCGCTGCCGCAGCCGCAGCGACTGTTGCCACTCGGTTTGTTGATGGTTCATCACCCTAGAAACAGCAACAACAACAACAACAACAACCAGCAGCAACAACAACAGCAATTACCATGTTAAGCGCATTTATCAGAAACCTTTTGCAGATATTCACGCATGAAGTGTTTATCGCTGCATAAAACTCAAAAAACACCCACCAAATGTAAAAATGTATTCCAAGAAAAAAAAAAATAGAAAACAACAAGGAAATGTGAAAAACTCAATTAAGACAAGTCGCAGCTGTGATGCTCTTACGTTTGGAATAATCTCTTAATATTAAACTATTTGTTCCGCCCTACTGACTGACATATTGATTATCTACGCATAATTTATGCTTTAGTCACTTTATCTAGTAGAAGTGAACGGTTTTTTTTTTGGGAATTCCACCCGCAATTGTGGAAAATTGGCGGAAAATGTTCGTATGACATTTTTTGCTTATCATTCGATGCACCTCAAGCAAAATTTTGTTTCGATTCGTTTCTTTTAAATTGTGTTTCACTTCTACGCAAAATCCTGGTTTATAATTGGTTACTTTACACTCAAAGAAATTATATGCTTTATTATCAACAAGTGCAACTAAAGTTGTTCTTGTTGTGATTTCTGTGAGAATCTTTTTTAACTTCTGGAAGATATTTCTTTAATTTGTATATATTTTATCAAATATCTAAATTTTATAAAAAATATTTTTACCTGTTTATCTATATGTACTTATTCACGATCCAAATTAGATGCACTGTCTAATTAAATCTATCCCAAATTTCTAATCTAAAAGCAAATAAATTGCTAGACTTTATTTGCGTTGGCATGCCAAAGGCATTATATGAATGCTATAGACTCTGTGAGGGTATGCGAGGATTCTTGTCTTTGCCAGCAGGGCCCATGGGCCGAAAGAGTATTAGGGATGCAGGGGGACGTAGACGGCGACGGGGACGTCGACGGCGACGGCAAGCGGCACGTTTAATGAATCTAATTAAAAGTCAACAATGGCAAACGAGATAATCGTCGTCAAAGGCAGTCCAAAAGCAACAACAACAACAAAAATGGCAAGGCCAGAAGGGTTGGCTAGACGAGGGGTGCGTTGTGCGGGGTGTTGCTGGTGGTTTTAACGCTTGGCTAAGACGCAGGCGCAACATGCGAGCGTAGTCAACGCAGGCAGCGACGCAGACAACAGCTGACTGAGAGCCGAGAGCAAAGAGAGAAAGAGAGAGAGAGAGAGAGAGGGAGAGAGAGAGAGAGTGGGAATGTGTGTATGTGAGGCAAAGAGATAAAATCTGGCAAACGTTTTGCATCTGGAAAAGCTGCCAAGGAAATGAAATAAACCAAAATGCAGATAATAGCAGGAGATACAAACTAGAGAGAGCGAGGGGAGAGCGAGAGGAAAGAGAGAGAGAGAGAGAGAGAGAGAGTGTGTGACCCATGGAAAGGGGGGCTCGGCGAGGGAGTGTTGCCCGGCGCTGGCAGCCAAAGCAACATTAAAACAGATCAACGCTCGCTGATAAACACAATGAAAACTGAAAAGCGACAAAGCCCGCGGGGGGGCGCAAAAGAATATGAGGAAATTGCGAGGGCGGTGTGTGGCGGGGGGTACGTGGAGAGTGGGGGCAGGTGTTGTGCCAGGAAATGAGCGTGCTGCGAGGCCGAAAGGGTTGAGATAACAGCTGCAGCGACTGCAGAAGCTATCAAGCGTTTCTCGCAGTGTATGTGAGCGCAAAAGTAACTAAATAAGGGACAAATTTAAAAGCTTGGCAAGCTATTCTTCTTTCAAAAACTAAGCAAAAAAATAAAAGCAAATAAAAGAAAAACTAAAAAAATTAAAATAAAAATAAAGCTTGGAAAGCATTTCTTGCAGTGTATAACAGCTAAAATAATATAAATAAATAAAAGAGAAATTAAAAAAAAATACAACAAAAACAAAACATATGCAAGCTGGCGAGCTTTTCTTGCAGTGTTTGTGCGACCAAAGAAAAATAAATAAAACAAAAATAAAAACAATAAAAAACAGATCAAGCTTGTCAAGCGTTTCTTGCAGTGTATGTGCCCAAAAAAAAAAATGTATTAAAAAAAAAACAGATACAGATACACAGATACAATTAAACACAAAACGCTTATCACTAAGCAATAATCAGAATTCCATTAGCCGTGCGACGCGATATCGCACAAAAGCATCTACCAGCACACACACACGCGCGCAGACACACACACGCACACACACGCACAACAACAGCAGCGTTCGGTGTTGTTGAATGTATCTTTGTATCTGTATCTGTAAGTGCACAGCGCACAGTGCTCAAAATTGCAACTGTGTGTGTATATTGGTATGTTGGTGTGCGTGTGTGTGTGTGTGTTGGTGTGTATCCGTTTTGCTGCTGGTTGGCTGACTCGGCTGCCTTTGCCGGCTGGCCTCGCCAACTGGTTGGCTGCTTCGCTCGATGTTATCTAACTGCGCGCCGCGCTGCGCTCTTATCAGTGCTTTATCAGTTTTTGTTTCGAATAATTTCGAACGACGTTCGTTGCGGCTGGGCGAAGGAAGCGACGGCAGCAACAGCAGCAGCAGCAACGAGAGCAGAGCGCGAGCAGATATCTTATTTCAGTTGCCACTCAACCGGCGACCGTGTCTGTGTCTGTGTGTGTGTGTGTGTGTGTGTGTGTGTATCTGTGTCTGTGTATGTCGGATACAGATACGAATCCAAGAGACGACTGCGACTTCGAATAGGACTGCCTGGCTAGGCAGGCGGACAGGCGGGCGGACTGTAGATAGGGCTGCAGATAGACGCAACTGGCAGACTGGCAAATGAAAGATAAACAACTTTAGCCAGAGAGACGCAGCCAAGGCGAGCGGGTCGAGCGGGGCGAGCGGGTTGGCGGGCGCGCAGTCATCAACAAACATCAGCTGTGCGCGGCGACTGAGACGCGGGCGTCGCTGCTGCGACGTCGTCAGCGTCATTCGGCTGGGCTCGGTATCTCACTTTTGTATCTCACAGATACACAGACAGACAGACTAGTGAGAGAGAGAGAGAGAGAGAGCGAGAGAGTAGAGAGAGCGAGCGAGACACTCGGCGCGCAGACAGAAAATTTCATTAGTCAGCCGCTTGGCCTGCGCTCAGTTAGCTCTAGAACGCGAAGCGAACAGCAACGGGCTCCGTGCTCCGTCAATCACAAATAGCAAAACGCGCTCAATCAGTCAATCCGTCAATCATTTGTGCGTCGCGTGCGTGTGCGAGTGTAGCCAAGGCTTAAACATGTGCAACATTGTGGCAAGTGCGGGGCAAACATAAGTTTACAATTGGAGCTAACACACAACCCGCTCCCCCTCAATCTACAAACCCCGCTCCCCCGCCCCCTCCACGGCTCTTGTTTTTTTTTGTTTTGTTTTGGATATTTAGCAACAAGATGATCAGCAGCCATTCGACAACAACAACAGCAAAAGGTGAGCAGCGGCTGATCTGTAAAATCTCTCTCGCCCACTCTCCCTCTCTCTCTCTTGCCCTCTCTTTTCCTCTCCCTCTCTCTCTCTCTCTCCTCGAGTCTCGAGCGACAGACAGCGCAACTCAAGCGAGTGTTTTTTACCCCCAAAGAGTTCGAGTTGAGGCAGCTTTTTGGTTTTGCTTATCAGTCGACTATCTGCGGCTGTGTGGCTACACATTCATTCCTGGACACACACACACACACACACACACACACAGATACACACACACATGTGGCTGTGATATCTACAATCTGGCGAATGAAGGAGAAATAAAAAAAACGACGAGGAATTCTGCGGATTGTTGTTATTATTGTTATTATAATTCCTTGAAGTGAATATCAGCAAAATATAATCAAAACGAGAAAACAACAACAACAACAACAACAGCAACAACAACGAGTGTAGCTCTGACTTGGACTTGGACTTGGACATGGTCTTCGTCTTCGTCTGCGTCTTGGCTGCGACTGCGACTGCGACTGTGGCAACTACTGAACTACGTTGAAACGCGCGTTGTGTGTTGTGCGTACTTAACAGATGCGATGGCGATATGAGCAGCAGCAGCAACAACAACAACAACAGCAACAACAACAATTGAGCAAACATTGTTTTCACCTGAAGCAATTATTCTGTATTATGAATAACATGTATATAGGGGGAAACATGGAAAAACCAACTACATTCGATTTTGTATCTTCCGCCTGCAGTTATCACAGTTTTAGCTAGTCTCCCGCTAAAACGCTACACTTAGCAAAATCGTATAGCTATAAGTTTGTCTTAGATCTGGGTACATTGATTAAAGAAGCTCATGCCAAACTCTGAGCTGTATTGAAATTTGTACATTTAGAAGGAGAATTTGGCAACATTTTGTAGCTCAACTTTTCGAAATCACAATCGCAACATTTACAATCATTTTGAAAACAATTAATATATTTAGTACAAGCTACAAGTATTTTTTAGATCTGGGCACATTGATACTCAAAATATTGACATTGTAGAAAATTAAAGAAAGAAAGGAAGAAACATATATTCTTTTCTTCGACCGAAATCTTTTTATATGAACAATTTATTTATTTAAATTTAATTTTATTTATTTTTTTTTTCTAATTTACATAACAACATTTTTTATTCGTAAACCTTATAAGGCAATTTTTTTTGATTAAGCTAGCAATTTTATTTCTAAGTGCATTGCAACTGCCTTCTCACTCACTCTCTCTCTCTCTCTTTCCTTTGCTCTGCAGGTGATTGTTCCGATACCACAGAAGAGATGACCGTCGACAGCAGAGGTGAGTGTGACGCTTGACTGTACCTAGCTATACGCCCAACCACGCCCCACAACCCCCAAGCCACAAGCTGCCCCATGGCCCCGCTCTAACCCATTGCGAGTAGCCAAAACTGTTATCAGTTTGCAGTCAGCAGCGCATTTCCCAGAGGCAGACACGAAAACGGTTAATGCCAAACATAAATTGCTTGATGTGTGTGTGTGTGTGCCTGTGTGTGTGCCTGTGTGTGTGCGTGTGTGTGCGGCAGTTGTCGTCTGCTGGCCTGCTGATATTTTGCCAATAAAAATTTAATCTGCTCTCATATCCAGTGTCAGCGCGAGCCATCCTTCTAATTTAATACCAATTTCTCCTGCTCCTCTCTATACATATATATATATTCTTTTTTTTTTCTCCCTCTGTTATCAGCAGGGCTGCAAGGCCAAAAGCGTTGATTGGTCGAGCAAAGCCAAAAGCTGAAGTCACAATCCACTCAGCACCCTGCCCGGGCTAAAGCTGCGGCTGCGGTTGCGTTTTTGACACCTCAACTGTGTGGAGTCGAACCCTTTGCCGGCTCGAATTCTGTCAGCCCAACCCCAGTCAGCGAGTTGACAACCCCTTTTGGTTACATTTTTTTTTTTTGCCTCAGCACAGGATATGATGAAGCAACCGCCGCGCCCTGCGCTGAAGTGCTGTCAAGTTGTGCGTGTTTTGACTTAGCTGGCATCATCATTGGCATCAATTTCATATCACTTCATAATCATCAGCAATGTCAATGTTCACCCCAACCCAACCCAGCCCAACTCTAACCCTAAATCTAAACTGAACCCCGACCACATTCAATGATGTTCTTGCTCCTGCTTCTGCTCCTGCTCCTGCTTCTGATGATGATGATGATGTTCGAGTGTGGCGCTGGTCAACCTGCGACCTTTGCTGGTGTTTGGCTTGCGAGAGGAAGGGGAGGTGGGGTGGATTGCTGCCAGATTCCACGCCATTTCGCTGCCTTCTCAAGCATTCATCATTAATAATCCCCCAGCCGGCAGGCATTGGTGTTGTCCCTCGCCCGCCCTCGGGCGCCCTACCACGTGGCCTTTTTGTGCTGCGTCAGTGAAAGATTTGCAGCAGCCACACACACACTCACACACACACACACACACACAGGCAGCACGAGTGGCCCAGTGGGCGTAACAGCGCGCCAAAAGTGGGCGTTTGTCTGCGGTAATCTTTATCTAGCTGTTGACACTCCATGGCAACGCAGCAGACCAACCATCCAGCAACAACAACAACAACAATAACCACAAAAAAGTGTGGCAAAGCGCAGAGTCACATTCCTTTCAGCCTTCTCGTTTACTCTCTCCATCCTTCTCTCTCTCTCTCTCTCTCTCTCTCTCTCTCTCTCTCTCTCTCTGTGTCCACTTGTCTGATAACTGCTTTTGGCTTTTGTGTGTGCGCTTGAATTCTAACCTGAGTAAAACACCTGAAAGGGCATAACAACTAGAGCAAGCGCTTTGCTGAACACAGTGTTGTAAAATGCCAGTATAACCAAATAATTCGATTATACACATATACAATGTATCTAATGAACAGGACAATATACACGTTTCAAGTGTAGAATTTGACTTGCAATTGGTTAGCCAACACTGGCAATTAAAATAAACTATCGATATAATAACTATCGATGAATAATTAATAATTTCTTGACTAATAATATTGATAATACCATGAATAATAATATCAATAATACCATGAATAATATCGATGGTAAGCTCTTTGGTTCTCACTTTCAATTAATTTTATTTGATACTATAATTCGTATTGTCATCAAATTTGCTAACGATAGTTCTTTTGTTTATGGAATCGATAAATCACAATGTGAAATGAGTAGAAGTATCGCCCCTTTCTGCTTTCGATAGGTATATCAATAATTATTTCGCTAGAGTTATCGATAGTGTTATCGATAGCGTTATCGATAGTGTTATCGATGGTGTTATCCATCTTAACAGCATTACTATCGATAGTGCACGCATCGATTTTTTTTACTTATGCAACTCGATACCATTGTAAATTTTATAATTGTTGCCATTGTTCGTTTCGCAACACTGGCACTGAGCAACTGCTAGTCGTGCACGCCCGCCCGTCTGCCGCATTCCCACATGCACTTTGCGGGCCTTGTTTGTTGCTGATTGCCCAGCCCTAAATAGGGAGGTGGCCGCCCAGCGAGGCAACCTTGCGATTGTTGTTGTTGCTGCTGCTGCTGCTCACTTTTGGCGCTCTTCATTTGCTGTTGTTGCTGCTGTGCAATGTACTGTAAGCGCATCTACAAGCTTTGTATCTCACTCGCTCACTCTCTCTGTGTGTGTGGTTTTTATCTGTAAAATTCATGAATGCTTCGGCTTATCTGGCAGAATTGCATACTTGCAGTACCCCAGCGCCTGGCCTGGCCTCAGCAATTGTTGTTGTTGCTGTTGTTGGCAGCGTTTTTTGGTTGGTTGCTTTTGCTGCTGCTGCTGCTGCTGCTGCTTTTGCTGCTGGCTGCTTGTCTTCTAATGGCGCTAAGTGAGCTGCCCGCCTGCCACTCCCCCTTTGCCGCCTGGCTGTGCCCACATGCACACTGGAGCGCCGCTCTCTAATGGCATTTTATCTGAGGCATAATTTTTTATTATTCGTTGTTGCTGTTGTTGTTGTTGTTGTTGTTGTTGTTGTTGTTGTTGTTGCTGTGCTCCTTTTGCCCTGTCTTAATGACAATCCAAAATACACACAGACAGCGAGTCAAATTGTTAGATAGCTTTTCGGCATGTAATTAATCATTTGACGGCCGACTTTTTGTTTATTTTCTTTACTTTTTTTTTGTTTGTTTTTTTTTTTTGTGCTGTTTGACTATCGCGACCAAGTTGAAGGCAGCAACAACAGCGCAAGTTTGGCATGCGGGACGCATTGCTGCGGGCTACAAAATCGTCAACAGCAGCAGCAATTGCTGCTGCACCAAAAAAAAAAAAAAAAAAAAAAACAAACGAAAAAAAATGAAAATAAAAGCTAACAACAAACGCCCAACAGTGGGGCCAAAACAAAAATCCATTACGCGCCTGGCTTATCGGCAACGTCCATCGACTCCAACAGCAACAACATCAGCAACAACAACAACATTCCACCTCACATTACGCATACGCACTGTGACCGCATTGGCAACCGAACTGAACGGAACTGAAGGCAACTTTCGCTTGAATTGAAACTGGCGCCTGCTCATATTTTGTATTTATGATTAAGTGCATTGCATGTGTGTGTGTGCGTGTGTTTGGATATAATAGATTACGAAGCAAAAAAAATCGTATACCCTTACCAAGGGGGTCTTATAAGTTGCTCTCTAAACTTGCAACGCATTACAGCAGACGCTTTCGAAAGCCTTTCAAAAACATAGCTTCCTTTTTGAAAGCTTAGCTAAGTCGCCATAGCCATGCTCCACTGTCTCTACCTATGTGAACTAAGTTTACTGTAAAGCTATCTTGATCTAAAAGTTGCCGCTTGCATTATATATATCGGATCACAAATTCATATAATTCACATAGAAAAAATTTGTGGAAAATGCAATCCAAGTTTAAGAAAAAATAAGCATATTTTCCATGATATATTCTTCGAAATTACATACTATAAATATTGTTCTGTATTCCCAAGACAGGTCGCTTCAAATTTATAGGTAAGCTGCATCTCCAGCATTATTCCTTTGAGCCAGACAACGCCGGGTAATTTGCTCTCGTAAAAAATAATAGAATTTGTTTATTTTTAGTAGGGATGACTATATATCATTGCATTTTTACCATTATTCATTTGAACCAGACAACGCCGGGTAATTTCCTCTAGTGAATATTAACAGAATTTTATCATGTTTTACCCAAGATAACTATATATCATTTGCATAGCTTTGCCTAGGGTTACATTTAATGAGTTATGAGGGTATCAAATCTTCAGCAGCCCGCAGGCTCTCGCTTCTGCCGCTTCGCGTTCTATTTTGCGTTCTTTTTTGGCTGGCGCCCATTTCTTGAGGGGGTGGCAAATAAAATTTACTTGAGTTTTTAACAATAAATTACCCAGGCCTACTGCACATGTGCCCAAATATTGACACACACACACACACGCTCAAATTAAGGGGATGAGGTAGGGGTTAGCAGGCACTTGGCCTCGTAATCCTTTTACTGTCGCGCGGGCATTTATGAAATTTATTCGCTCGCTTTAACAAACAAACCAAAAACTGTGGGCTCTAGTTGGCAGTGCGCGACTAGCAGATACCCTCTGCTCACAGAGAAGAACTTAATAATACACACAAAACGCGCACTGCAACAGCTGTGCTTTCTCTTACCTTACTTTTTTTAATAATCGATATTTATCGATTTTTAAAAAAATCGATCAATTCCTGTTGAATATGGTTTATACAAATATTAAACCCTTCTTACACATATTAAAACCTTTGTCTCAAAATCGATATTTATCGTTATTATACAAATCGATAAATTTCTGCTGTCTATATATTTGAAATTTAAAAAAACATTATACCCTTTTTGCACACTTTCAATGGGTTCAGCATATAAAAATATATATCGCTGGCCACAGATCGGAAAACACAGCGACGCAGGCAAACAGCCAGCGGCCTAAGTCCTCAGCTCCTGGCCAGGGCCTGTGCGGCTCCTGTCTTGCCATCACAAGGATGATGACGATGATGATGATGATGGCGATGCCTTCGACTTGAACTGGTCATAAAATGTGTGCGTGTGTGTGTTGGGCTGAGTTGGATTGGGTTGGGCTGTTGTCAGCTTTGGCCTTGTCCTTGTGGTTTCAAAGCTGTCAAGGGTTGGGGCAGGATGTTGAGTCGGTGGGCAGGAGGGGGTAGGGGGGGGGGGGGGGGAGGTAGCTGCCCAACTGTCTGAGCTGGTGAGTGACTTGGCTCGGCGGTGGCCATAACACCACGCAATCCTTTGGATAAATTTTCTTATCTTTGTCGGCCAGACGACGATATTATTTTTAATACAGCAGCCCAA